GCTTTCAGGGACAGGCAGTGGCCTTGGGCAGCTTCCTCTTGGGCCTCCCACAAGGGGCGCACAGACAGCTCTGTCTTTGGGGGTCCATGTGGCCTGGACTCCGACCCTGCCTCTTTGCAATGAGTGCCCACTTGGACCCCAGTAATTCTTGCCCACCACCCTGAAAGCACTTTGCTGTTGAAGGAGCTTCTTCCCCATGGACACAGCCCTTCTAGCCTGAGCCCAGCCTACAGATGAGGTCAGGGAAGGAGAGTGAGGGCCCAAGGCCGCAGGGCCCTCCTCCCCACTGTCTGCTCCCGCCACTCTCCTGACCCCACACCTGGTGCCTGGGGCAGTCCACTGTTGGGAGAGTCAGGGTCGGTAATGGCCATGAAGAGGGAGGGAGGCGGAGAGTGTGAGCAGGGAGGGGGCACCTACTGGGGGACAGCCTGGTGCCGCAAGACCTCCCACCCCACAGCTGCAGCTCAGAGTGAGTGGGCCAGCCCCGGCCCCCTAGCAGCAGCTGGAAAGGCCCAAGCAGTGTCTTGAGCCACCCTGGGGCTCAGGTGGACCTCCCCCAAACTAAAGGGCAGGGAGAGGGCTGGGCGTCACAGCAAGCTCCCCCCTCCGAGCCCAGCCAGTTGGGGAGGAGGCAGAGAGAGGAAGGCAAAGGGCTCATTCTTCTCTCAGAGGGCAGGGGGGCTGCGGGGGATTGAACCCAGGGCCTGACACGGGCCGGGCAAGTGCTCTACTTTGGCAACACCTCCCAGCCCTGAGGCTCAGCTGTTAGGAGATGGGAAGTGGAAGTGGCAGAAATGCCAGTGTATTTCCCTCCAAGTGCCCTCCAGGACATGGGACGAGGGACAGGCCAACTGGAACTGCATGGAACCCAGAGGGAACGCTCTTGTCCTGCGGGAAATGGAGGGACCCAGCCTCCCATCACCCAGGTCCCAGGAAAGGCTCTGTGGAGTGTCACCATCCAGACCCAGGGCATCCAGCATCGCCACCCATGCAGCTGCCCCTTGAAGAGGGCTTACAAGTCACAGGGCCTGGGAACGTGGCTCAGTGATAGAGCGCTTGCCCAGCATGTGTGGGTTCCATCCCCAGCACCGCAGAAGAAAGAAAAAAATGAATTAAAGACACAAGAGGTAAAGGAGAAGTGTGCTCTGGGTCCACACAGGGAGTCTACCATTTCAGTTCTGGTTAGCTTCCTGGCCACCAAGATGTCCCCTCCGAGGGCACTGGATTCAAGATCTATGCCCCGACAGTCAAACAACGCAAGCCCCTGCCTCCCCCACCTGTTCCTCCACAGCCCTGAAGTCTCCAGGCTGTGGAGAGGCGGGACAGTGTCCTGGGTCTCAGGGCATTTAGCATGCCCAGGTGTGTCTTGGCCTCATGGCACAACTTAGCCAGCAAAATTTCCAGGGTGAGTTGTTCTGAAATTCTACCCCTGGACTCCCAGATGTCACCAACTCCTCAAACCAAGTCACACCTCCCTGAAGAAAGGTAGATAGTACCTATAGCTCAGTCTGGGTCTCCTTCAGTCCCTCCCGACACCTCACGAGGGTCCCTGAGGCCAAGCCTCAGAAATACAGAAGACTCCTTAGCTTCTTCAACAAGAGCCAAGTTTCTGGACCAGCCATAGAGGGAGGCAGGACTGGGCCTGGGGCTCTTCTCCTGAGGGGAGGGGCTGGGGGCACAGGCTCTGGAAAGCAGACTGCAATCCCAGCAGGGCCTCTCTCCAGGGCCAAGTTAGCCTTCCAGTCTCAGTTTGCTCCTCTGTAAAATGGGGACGATATCTACCCAAGCAAAGGTTAGAGAGATGGTCAACTGGAAAGTCTCAGGCCAGGGACACTTTACACAAGGGGAGGGCACAGGGAGCACGGGCTGCCCTCAGCTGATCAGAAGGAAACCTGCGTCTGCAGGGGGCGGCCAAGGACAGAACACGCAGGGTTCTGACAGCTGTTTGGGGCCCAGTGTCCCTCACTGAGGCCTTTCTGGGCCACAGGGAGACCAGCAGCCCTGGCTGCCACTCACGCTCCATCCCCGTAGACCTTGACGGCGTTGACGCAGCTCCTGGTCCAGCCCTGGCTCTGCAGGAAGGGGCAGTCCTCCAGGAACTCCAGGCACTGGCCCGTGAAGTTGCAGCCCTCGAAGATCTCTAGCCGGAAATGCTCCCCATGCTCCAAGGCACAGGCGGGCGGAGGGTGGGAAAGAGGAAAACGCTCTGAGTCCCCCACCAGTTCAGGTGGGAAGGAATGTGCAGTCACCCAGGGCTCTGGGCACCCAAGAGTTCCCAGGCCGGCTGGGGTGGGGGTTGGTAAGTGGCCCCATCTCAACACACACCCTCAGTTCCCTCTTTCACATGAGATGTGTTGGCGGTTTTATGACTTTAAAAAGCTTGGCTGGGGGTGGTGGTGCATGCCTGTGATCCCAGAGGCTTGGGAAACTGAGGCAGGGAAGAATGTAAATTTGAGAGCAGTTTCAGCAATTTAGCAAGGCTCTTAGCAACTGAGTGAGACTGTCTCAAATTTTTAAAAAAAGCATCAAAAGAGCTGAGGATGTAGCTCAGTGGTAAAGTGTCCCTGGGTTTAATCCCCAGAACAAAAAGAAAGAAAGAAAGAACAACAACAACAAAAGAGCTTCAAAGCCCCTGAATCGGTCCAGTGGTCCAATCTCCTCTTTTTACAACTAAGGAATCCAAGATCCAGAGAGGGGGCAAGACTGCCCTGAGACCAGGGCCACTTGGACCCGGGTTGGGATCACTCACTCCCTCCAGGTGCTCAGCCTGGGGGCTCCAGCCCTGGTTATACCAACGCCGCTTCTCAGCTTTGACTTCTCTGCCCGCAGGCCACAGATGATAATATTTTAGAACTGTAATAGAACCTTTTATTAAAACATGAAGCCAAAAATCTAAAACAAATAACACATCTCGTTTGCTGAAATCCCTGCTGGCCTTGACGTCATCACTCACTAACATCAGTACATGGATCTCCCTGCGAGATTCCTGTGTTTCCAAAAGACAAAGGAGGGCCAGCTCCCCACAGGCCAGATGTGGGGGGGGACGGGTCTGCCTCATAGCTGGCCCCAGGCATGGCCTTTTTGAGAAGAGCATTCACAGGATGCCTAGTATATTTCTAATATAAATAGCATTATACGGGATCCAGGGCCAACCATTTTAATTCCTTTTTCCAAATGCCCAAGGCCTGGCAGAGATACTAAGAAAGTATTCTTACATTTGAGAAGCCAAAGTGCAGCCGGTTTTGCAGCTGATAGGAGAGGGGGCCCCAGGCAGAGAGGCACCACCCCCATGATTCCTTAGGTGTTTGCCAGAGCCCCAGCCCAGGCATCCAAGGGAGGGCCCTCTGGCCAGCAGACTCTGAGCAGGGCTGCTCACTGTGAGCTTGGGGACTGGTCATTTCCCATTCAAAGGACCAGAACTCAGAGCAGGTCAGATAATGCTGTGACTTGGGTTAAGCCTCATTCCTCAAATCCTACCCTGAGTCATGCAGCCATAAAAAGCCCCTCCCCACGGAAGAGCGACACCCCTGGTTTGTGCCCCACCTGTGAGATGCAGCCACTTGTGCAACTCCAAGGGACCTGCCCCACACGTCCTGCTGACTGGCCTGTGATACTTCAGCTTCTTCCATTAGCAATTCCAAGATTAGGGCTTGGGAGGTGCGCAGAATGGCTACAAGGCCATGTGCCCAGCAGGTGCCCGGATCCAGGCAGCCTGACTTAACTTTTGCTGAGTGCTCCACCTTCTGGTCACAAATCCAAACTTATAATTTTGTTTTCTTTTTTGGGGTGTTGGAGAGGGAACCCAGAGCCCAAGCTCTACCACTGAGCTACACCCTCCAGCCCCCAAACTTCTAATATTTTCAACAGCATTTTAAATAGAGAATTTAGCTACATGTTTGGATGGGAAATTTAAAGGGGTTTCCTGAGAACTCCCAGGGGCTCTCCTGCCTGGTAGCCCTGATTGAACCCCAGGTGTCTCACCCTCCTGCCAGCAGGGGTCTGGGTAGGGCCTTTTAAAGTTGGGAGGACCCTGCTACAGACTCCAGGAAGGCCCCAGCCCCCAGGCGGAGTGAGTGCTCACCATTCCTACAGGCCGGCAGGAGCCCATGTGGTCATTGTGGCCGTTCCAGCGGAAGAAGTCAGGGTAGTCACCATGCTCCAGGATGAACTGCTGGCCCCGGAAATCGGGGTGATCAAAGCAGACCCAGGCGCCACTCTCTACCCGGATGGAGTTCACTCTGTTCATAAAGCCTCGGTCCTGGAAGTTGTCACAGTCCCCGAAGATCTCCAGCTTCCGGCCTGTGAAGTGCTGGCCCTCGTAGAGAGTGATCTAGAAGGCCAGGCCAGAGCCAGGGTCAGGCTTCTCTCCTTTCAGTTTGGGGGTCTGTCATCTGGGACCTCTGCATCCTCTATGGAACCCAGATTCCCAGGCCACCAAGCCCGGCCCTGCTGTGCACAGGAGGTGCCCGAGACATCTGCTGATTGGGCAGAGGATGAAAGGTCAACAGGCTGCTGCCAGACACAGCCACTGCCCAAGCCCCCCGTGGAGCAGACCGACTGCAGCCCCTCTCTGGGGACAGGAAGTTCCCCTTTGTCGAGGTGTCCATTTGAAAACCTGCTCGTCACAAACTTCCACCACATTTGTTAAACTCAATTTTTGTTTATTGTTAAAACAACACATCCATAATAACATTAAAGGAGATCTTTCCAAAAGAATAAACTTCACCTCCTGCTCACCTTTATGTTTTGGAAAGCCAGGTTCCTGGGGCTGGGCCTCCTCAGCTGGAGAGGCTGAACCTGTGGAAGCCAGGCCCAGGAATCCCGGCCCAGGATGAAAGTCCTCAAAAGCACACTCTTTAAGTGTCACCTTGTCCTTTTTTTCCCCTTTTTAAGGCCTGACAGACAGATAACTAGGTAGCATGGACAAGTTGTCCTTTTCCCAAACTTTAGTTTGGACCGGAGACCCTGGGGCACTTAACCACTGAGCTACATCCCTAGTCTTTTATATTTATTTATTTATTTTTAATTTTGAGACAGTATCTTGCTAAATTTCTTAGAACTCTCTAAGTTGCTGAGGCTGGCCTCAAACTTTTGTGATCCTCCTGTCTCTGCCTCTTAAGTCTCTGGGATTACAGACAAATGCCATTTTGTCCAGCTCTTGTCCCCACACTTAACAACTCAAGCAACAACAACCCCCTCAACTTATTTCCTGCCATGGAACCTAAAATTCCAAATACTCAATAACTCTTGGGTCTCAAGAATTGTGGTCCCAAGGGACCCTATCAAGGTATAGTAACCCAGTAACTGTTGTCATTTGTGCTTTGTAAATGCTTCCAGTTCTCCCAGGCCCCTAGGAGCTAGGGCAGCTGAATGCTCTGGCCAAAGGAATGTGTGTGGGAATGGACACTTGCAAGCCAGTGCATGACTGATTTGGGTGTCTCTTCCTTTCCCTTTCTCATGTTACTGTCAGCCTGGGGCATCGGGAAGGGTGTGAGGACAAAAGCACTTATACCCATGATGGATATGAGGTGCTAGGGAGGCAGATACCCTAGTTGATGCATGCTACCAAGCTACTGGGGTTATTTGTTTCTGAAACATAGCCTAGCCCATGCAGACGACTCTAGTGGTGCTCTCACCACTGAAGCACTGGAATGGAGCTTCTGGAGCCCAAAGGCTTCATGGGACTATCCAGGACAGGGTCACTAGAGGAGGAGGAGAGCGATCTGAATTGGCTACCCTTCCAGCACCAGACAGGTTTGATAGAGAGTCACCCAGACATTCAATGAGACCTGAACACCCCAAGGATTTGGAGGTCCTCAAGGCTCAACATTTTGCTGAGAAACAGCCCCACATACCCGTGAAGACTGGAGAGCAAAACACACACTTTGACCATAAAGAAGAGGCAGCCAGGGTGGGCCCTGTATGATCGGCAAGTGTAACCCACCCCAAGCCAGAAAGCAGCAGCCAAGTTTGACCACCCTCCCTGCTCTTGACTTGGGGGAGGTGGTTAGAACCCCAGAACTCCTGAAAAAGGGGATGAAAGAGCGCGATCATCCTCTGCACCCTCACCAGAGGCCCGCAGCCAACAGCCAGGCAGCTCCATTTAATTAAGAAATTAAGCCAGCTTTGCTTGGGCTTGTAGTCCCCAAAGGGCGCACGGAACAACAGTTTGCATCTCCCCAGGCCGGGTTTGCACCCTCCCCATGCCCGCGCACTGGGGCAATCGCCGGCCCCCTGCTGGTTTGCATTGGGTGGGGAAGGGCCAGGACTCACCTTCCCGGAGCGCTGCGCCATGGTGCGCCGCCGTCCTCCACCGGACTCAGTATATACCCGGCGGCGCCCTGCTGGCTCAGCGCCGCCAGGGACAAAAGATTTGCTTGGCCGGGCACCGCCGAGTTAGTGCTGTCGGGCGTGCTAAGCCAGAGAGGGGCCGCCGGGCCGGCCGCTGGGACCCGACCCTCGGCCACCCTGCGCCACGCGCAGAGGGCCCCCCCGCCCCTGCCAGCCCCCAAGACCTCGGTTCCCGGACCTCTCCTTCCCAGCCCACCCGCTCTCCTGGCTGAGTCAGGACCACCGCACCACCGCGCCCACTGCGATTGCCGGGGGCTGGGAAGGGGTCTCCCAGGCCCTGCGCCTCTTCCCCAGGGCTGCACTTGGCCCTTCCCCACTCCACGCCTCCCTCCATCACACCCGGCTGCACTTTAACCTGTTCCCGCCTGGTTTCTTTGGGACCTAGGATGGAGTCCATCCAAGCTTCCCGGGGCAAAGAAAGTCTTCCTCTGCCCCTTATAACTAGCTTCCCTGATCTGAGCTCCCAGCCCCAACCCCTGGCCGCCCTCCCTCCCCAGCCTGGGCTCCCGCGTCCTCCCTCTTTGGGATACTGTATCTCTCCCCCTGGAGATCCTTCCCAGGTGTCCCCTGATCCATGCTGCACCCCGTGCGGGGGTCGGGGGGCCGCAGTGCTCTGCACCTGAAACTCTACACTAGGGCCACCCTGGGCCACCCTGCGTGACCGTGACCGAGGAGGGGTCTGCAGAGCCTTCCCAGGGCTGAGAAGCCCTTGGCACACGGTGGAGCCTCGAAGATTGTTTATGGAGTAAATGGAATAAACACGGAGGCCACAAATCACTGGGGAGATGAGATGGGGTAATGATTGGTGGGCAGTGTGTGGGGGGTGGGGGGCAGGCTCTAGAGCAAAGGAGAGAGAAGCCCGGGGCTGCGGGGTCCTGGAGTTAGGCAGGGCTTCTTCTCTCAGGAAAGTGGACTGGTTTCTTTCTTTGTTTCACAGGGTAGGGGATTGAGCAGTGAATGCAACTTTTATTCTTGATTTGTGAGAGACTCACAAATTAACTTCTCAACCTGCTGCACGGGGAGATGGGGTAAAGGAAATGAGGGGTGGGTAGGTAAATAAAGGGGAGGAATATTCATGCCTTTTCTGGGAGTGGGTGGCGATTTTCTGGGACTCCGGGTATTACCTCTTTTTCTTTTTAGTACTGGAAATTTAGCCCCAGGGCATTTAACCACATCCTCCGCTCTTTTTTATTTTGTTTTTGAGACAGGGTCTCACTAAGTTGCTTACAGCCTCAATAATTTGCTGAGGCTGGCCTTGAACTTGTGATCCTCCTGTCTTAGCCTCAGGAGTCACTGGGATTACAGGCTTGCTCACCAAGCCCAGCTCTCTTTTCACTCTTCCTATGGTTCTTTCCAAGTCATCGGACGGCCACTGTCTACTCTCATAGCTCTGGGGATATGTCATTTAGCATGCAGATGGATTATCATGAAGTCAGAGGTGGTCCATCTTGACCTAACTTGTTTGGGCTAGCCCACCTGGAGAGGAACTTTAGGCCTTCAGGTATCCTGTCTTCAAAGATAAACAAGAAAAGGACCAGGTAGAAATTCAGCTAGGTCACTGAGGCAGTACAAGACTCGGGCAGGTAACAGGGCCATGCACCTAGCCCTGTCCAGTGTATTTTTATCGTCATTTCACAAATGGTGAAGGGACAGCAGGTCACATGATTCTTGGGGCAGAGAGTGACCTTGCCCTTGCCCTAAGAAGTCATCAAAGGCAGACAGGGCATGGACTGGATCCCACAGGTCACCCTCCTAGCTGTCATGCCTTCCCCCAGGGCGGCTGCTGCCTCCACAGGTGGCCATCCACTCTCCAGGCCACACCTTCCAGCGCCTGCCTCTGGACATGGGTCATGTGGGGACATATCATTAAAAACAAAGTTTCCTGCCAATCTAGAAAAGTGGTAGAGAAAGAAAACAGTCATTATTAAGTCAGCTTTAAGCCAGAATGCGATGGGCTTCACGGGTGACCTGCTAAGACATTGCAACATCTCAGCCTGGGGGTCAGTGGCAGGGCTCATCTGTAGCTCGAGTAAGGCCCTGGGTTTGATCCCTAGCACTTCGAGGGAGGGAGATGGGGAGGGAAGGAGAGAAATGGAAGGGGAGGGGAGGACTTCTCAGAGTTGGGCTTGATATGGTGACCAGCCAGTCCACAGTTTGATCAAGACTACTTAATCATGGGTATTTCTTAACTCCTGCTTTTGATTTCTCCCAAATTAAAACAGAGCTCTGTCAATACTCCCCAAAGACAGGGCTGAGGATTCTAGTCTTCGCAGTCTGGCTATACTGAATAAATATTTCTTTTCTTTTTTTTGCACTGGGGATTGAACCCAGCAGGGGTGCTTAACCACTGAGCCATATCCCCAGCCCCTTTTTTATATTTTATTTAGAGACAGGGTCTCGCTGAGTTGTTTAGGGCCTAAGTTACTGCAGCTGGCTTTGAACTTGCGATCCTTTTGCCTCAACCTCCAGAGCCACTGGGATCACAGTCAGGTGCCACTTCACCTGGTCTGAATAAGTACCTTTCCTTCCTTTTTTACCACCAGCTTTTCTGCTTGGATTTTGAGGCAAGTAGCTAGACCTGGTCAGCAGGGACTCCCTTATGTCAGGTCCCTGTCTGTCCCAGAACTCTGATAACAGAGCCCACAGATTTTGTATCACCATGAAGGTGATGTGAATGGAATATAAAATATTAACAGTGATTTGGAGCATTTTCTGAAAAGCATACACAAAAAAATGCCCGCCACAAACTTGACTCAAAGAATTGGTAAAGAAGAACAGGTGGATCAGATTTCAGCAATTTCAAGTCCTCCCCCATTCCAAGGGCAGACACTCAAGTCTCTCCCACAATTTCCATTACAAGTTGGTCACCAGAGGAAGGCTCTGCCATGCCCTGTAAGACCCCTTGCCGCAAACAGCTACATAATATGTAAATGCCAGACTCGTCAAATGCCACCCTTAGAGTTAAATCATTCCATTACCAGAGTCCCGGGTCAGGGGGGCCTGACTTCACAGGATCCCAAAAGAAGAGCTCCAGGATTACCTAAGGGTCCGAACAAAAAAGTGTGGAATGGATAAAGAAATGTGGTATATATACACAATGGAGTATTATTCAGCCTTAAAGAAGAATGAAGTGATGACATTTGCTGGTAAATGGATGGATGTGGAAAATATGCTAAGTGAAATAAGCCAATCCAAAAAAAACAAAGGCCAAGTATTTTCTCTGATATGTGGATGTTAACTCACAATGGGGGTGGGGGTGAGGTGCTAGAGAAGAATATAGGTACTTTGGATTAGTCAGAGGGGAAAGAATGGAGGGGAGGGGTATGGGGGTAGGAAGGATAGTAGAATGAATCAGACATTATTACCCTACATGTATATGTGACTACATAACCAGTGTGACTCTACATCTTGTACAACTAGAAGAATAAGAAGTTATTCTCCAGTTACGTATGTTGTGTCAAAGTGCTTTCTACTGTTATGGATAACTAATTACAACAAGTTAAAAAAAAGTGTGGAGCTGGGCACAGTGGCACACACCTACAATCCTAGCAGCTTGGGAGGCTGAGGCAGGAGGATCACAAGTTCAAAGCCAGTCTCAGCAACTGAGTGAGTCCCTAAGTAACTCAGCAAGATCCTGTCTCTAAATAAAATACAAAAAAAGGGCTGGGATTGTGGCTTAGTGGTTAAGCATCCCTGGGTTTAATCCTGGGTACCTTAAAAAAAATTGTGGATTCCCCCCGCCCCCACCCACTCCTGGTACTGGGATTGAAACACAGGGTGCTTTACCACTGAACTATATCACCAGTCCTTTTCCATTTTTTTTTTATTTTGAAGCCAGGGTTGGCACATGACTCAGGGGTGGAGAAGTCAAGGCAGAAGGATGGCAGGTGTGAGGCCAGTCTCAGTAATTGTGTAAAATTCTGTTTAAAATAAAATTAAAGAGGACTGACCTTCCCACAAAGGTGAGATCTTGGAACCCTACACAAGCACTACAAATCTAAAGGGTAAAAACAATAACACACCAGATCCACAGAGTTGGAAAGGAAGACACATGAACAATGTGAAAAGACAGGGAAGAAAGAGCCACAAACAAATCAAACAACACATCATTAGAAGCATTGGTAGCTACAGCAGAAAAAATGACAGAAAGATTTCAGGATATACATGGTTAAATATTCTGGGATCTTAAAGAAAACATAAGAGAATACAGGCAGTGAAAGATCACTTCGACAATGAACTACATAAACAAATCCAAGAAGCAAAAGATCACCTCAACAAGGAGATAGAGGTTGTAAGACTGGAAGACACCGCACCACACTACACCACGCGACACAGATCACCTGAGAGGTTCCCCTTTATTACCAAAGGCTGTGTGTTTATATAGCCCACCAGCAGGATTTGAACATTGGTGCCGACGGGAACGTTTCACGCCAGTGAAACAAACAAAGAGGAGAAAGAGGGTCATTAGACGCCATGTTGGGGTTTTTCTCTGGGGTGCTGCTGCCATTATATGTTTTCCCAACAGAGGTTATATAAAACAAACAAACAAAAAAAAAACCAAACAAACAGAAATCCTTGATATGAAGGAAATAATAAACCAAATTAAAAACTCAAATGAAAGCATCACTAACAGAGTAGACCACTTAGAAGATAGGACAATGAAGATCAAATAAACCATCTTGAAAAGAACATAGACCACACAGCAAAAATGATAAGAAATCAGGAGCAGAACATTCAAGAAATATGGGAGGTCATAAAAAGACCAAATTTAAGAGTTATTGGGATAGAGGAAGGCACAGAGGTCCAAACCAAAGGACTGAACAATCTATTCAATGAATCAATCAGAAAACTTTCCAAACTTGAAGAATGAATTGGAAATCCAAATTCAAGAAGCCTACAGGACACCGAATGCACAAAATCACAACAGATCCATACCAAGGCACATTATAATGAAAATGCCCAACATACAGAATAAGGAGAGAATTTTAAAAGCCACAAGAGAAAGGAATCAGATTACTTATAAGGGAAAACCAATTAAGATAACGGCAGATTTTTCAACACAGACCCTGAAAGCTAGAAGATCCTGGAACAACATATATCAAGCTCTGAAAGATAATGGGTACCAACCAAGAATCT